TGCTTTTCTCCATCTGGCTTGAACATATGGCTTTTTTGATTCCCCCCCCCCAATCCTGGTAAATAGAAAGTAGAAAAACAAGCAAAAAAACTTTAACAAAAAAACCCTAAGAGGTGGCTTTCCAAAATCTTGGAAGTATTAACCATGCTTAAAGGTAAAGGTTAAGGTGTGGGTTCCCCTTGACATTTAGTCCAGTCATGTCCGATGAGCCAGCGTTTGTCTGAAGACAGTTTCCGTGGTCACGTGGCCAACACGGCTATACACGGAACGTTGTTTACCTTCCCACCGAGGTGGTACCTATTTATCTATTCGCATTTACATGCTTTCGAACTGCTAGGTTGGTGAGGAGCTGGGACAAAGCGACGGGAGCTCACCCCGTCGCGTGGATTCAATCTTACGACTGCTGGTCTTCTGACCCTGCAGCACACAAAGGCTTCTGTGGTTTAGCCCACAGCACCTCCACGTCCCCCAAATGACATACTACGTACACCTTAAAGTGACCCTACTTAACCTGATCCAGCCTGGGGACAATTTGGCTGTCTAGTTGCATCCTGATTTAAAGCACTTACCCGGAAAACACAAGTGGTGTTTTCCAGGTAAGTGAAATATTTGAGTGGGTCTAGCTGTGTGTCCTGCCCCCACCCCTCAGTTTCATGGGCAAGTGGGAACTCAGACCCAAGTCCTAGTTTGTCCTTTTGTTCATTAAACCACACAGGGTACTTATCGCCCAACATAAATTGCCAACCAAAGCTTTTCTGTCTCAAAGCTAGACCTGAAACCAGATAGTAAAGGATTCCAACAAGCCCATTCAATCCAAGTCAGACAAGCCTGGAATGAGGTTGCCATTTTCTCCTCTCGGTCCTTAATGGAAAAGAAAGAAGCTGGGAGACCAGCTGATAAATCTTCATTGGATCCTGCCATCCAAGACAACATTTTCAACAGTTTCACAGCTACTTTTACAGGCCCTGGACAGAGCAATTCCAGTCTCCACCACCCAATTGGCCAGTCTCCCTTTGGCAGCTTTTACTATTTCAGAGTCTAGCAAACAAGGGGTGAGTCAGCCTCACCTTTCCAGGTATATTAATTTGTTCACACCCTGACCTTTATTGCTGTGGGGTTGATCATGGCTCATCCTTCTGTTTCCATTGTCTTTTGACTGTGCTTGATCTAGATTTGTTAGCGGTAAAATAAGATTTTTCTCTTGTAAACTTGGAGCTACTTTCTTTCAAAGAAGAGGGTATTTAATTTAACTAAAACTTGGGTCTTTACCAGTATTGAATTCCTGTACAACCTCTCCATCACCTTCACCAACCTCCGCTATTTGGGGGGAAAAAATCAGGAGAGGTCTGAATTAGGGGAAAAACACAATCCTTTCTTACCATATGAACCAAGTTGGGTTTAGAAAAAGAGGAAGGAAGTTATACAGATTTACAAAATAAGTTATTCTTTTATGTGAGGTCATCCAATACAGCAATTTCAAGGCCGGCAAAAGAAAAGTATTTTTTCTGTTGGAAAATACAGCCAAGGAAAAACCAGGGCCAGCAGTTAGAAGTGGACACAAATTGGGGTTTCATCAGGACACTGAAGCCGTTGAATGCCTTTGTCCTTGGGAAAGCAGGCATGGGTTCGTTAACGACCCATAAAGTAGGATGGACTAAATGACTACATGACTGACCATGCAGTTCTAATAATGTCTCCACATGCCTGTATGCCCACCCCTTTCCACCCATCCAATCCTTTTTTTTTATCAATTTCTTTTCTGGGACTCCCCATTTAAAAAAAAATGTCTGTCTGTCTGGCATTTGAAGGAGTATATGGAAAACCTGTGCCCATGTGCCTCAAATGCTCAGCTCCAGCTTTTACCAACGTACACTAGTTAAAACAGGAAGCTATCCATGAGTGTGTATATGCCATCAAATTGATTCTGAATTACAGCAACCCTTTCCAGGGTTTCCTAGGGATAAAGAACTCAGAAGGGATTTGCCATTTTCTTCTTCCGGGGACGCCCTGAGACTATGTGGGTTGCCCAAGCCCACACAGGCTGCTCTTTTCTTGAGAGGCACAGTGGGGAACTGAATGCCTAACCTCTGGCTCTGCAGCCATCAGCCATCAGCGAGCTATCTGAGATATCAGCTTCCTGATATCTTGAACATCAGCGATGTGCTTTTAAGGGGCTCTTCCTATAGCTGAAAAGTTAATTCTCACTTTGCCCTTTTTTATTCCATCCTCTACATCTCCACTTTCCTGTAGCCTCCTCCTCTTATACCTCTGATAGTGTTCAAGAGTTCCAAGCACACCATGGGTGCAGAGGCCCCATCCATTGTTATGTCTGGCTCTAAAATTGTTGCTGTGTTGCCAGTTTCTGCACAGCACTATTTGGGGGCACTGTGTTCCAAGATGAATCCTTAGTTCATTGATAAATACGAGTATTTCAGTTTTTTATTTTTACTTCCCTCCCCCTAAAAGATTTCACTTTGTTGTTCAACTCAGTTGTACAGTTCATAGGTTTCATTAAAGGTGGAAAAAGTTCTGAAATGATTTATCTTTGTCTCATTTTTTTAAACATCAAGACACTTGACCTTTTAACAGGAGCGTGTAAACATTTTATATCTACTGTAGTAATCAGGAAGCAGTATCCTCCTGGGGAGGCTCTCTGCGCTGGATTTTATATCCACTGTAGTAATCAGGAAGCAGTTAGTATGATAGTTAGGATATAGGAAAGGGGTGGACATCTTTGGTAGATTCTAGGGCCAATTTTCTACTTCTTGGACCTACCCCTTGTCCTCAAGGAGACACTCATTAGGCCCATTAGGAAGAAACAAAATTTGGTGGCAGATGATATTGGCAATTATAGGCCCATCGCCAATGTTTGACCAGCTGACCAGCTTCAGGCCCTTCTGGATGAAACCAACGCCCAGGATCCATTTCAATCTGGCTTCAGGCTGCACCACAGTACAGAAACTGCATTGGTCACCCTGTTTGATGACCTCCTGAGGGAGGCCGACAGGGGCAAAATGTCTGTGTTGGTCCTTCTCAATATCTCAGCCGCCTTCAATACCGTCGACCACAATATCCTCCTGGGGAGGCTCTCCGAGCTGAGAATCGGTGGTCTGGTGTTAGCCTGGCTCTGATCCTTCTTGGAGGACTGTCCCCAGAGAGTACAGCTTGGGGACAGTGTATCGGCTCTGTGGAATCTCAATTATGGGGTTCTGCAGGGCTTGATTATTTCCCCAATGCTGTTTAATATCTACATAAGGCTGCTGGGTCAGGTCATCAGGGGGTGTGGGGCTTCGTGTCATCAGTATGCTGATGACACCCAGCTCTACATCTCCTTTTTTCCTACAACAGTGGATGCCATTCCGTCCCTTCAGCGCTGTCTGGATGCTGTACTGGGATGGATGCAGGCAAATGGTCCGAGGCTGAACCCGGACAAGACGGAGGTCCTGAGGGTTGGTGGCCCAGACATTGGTGGTTTGAGAAACTCCCTCATGTTTGGGGGGGTGACTCTCACCGCAAAGACTGAGGTTCGCAGCTTGGGGGTACATCTTGATCTGGCGCTTACCATGGAAACTCAGGTGCCGTCAGTGGTCCACTCCACCTACTTCCATCTTTGGTGGATCGCCCAGCTGCATCACTATCTTGATGTCGGGGCCTTCACCACTCTGGTCCATGAGCTTGTAATCTCAAGATTAGACCACTGTAATATGCTCCCGCCAACCTAGCGGCTCGAAAGCATGCAAATGCAAGTAGATAAATAGGGACCACCTCGGTGGGAAGGTAACAGCGTTCCGTGTCTAAGTCACACTGGCCATGTGACCACGGAAGATTGTCTTCGGACAAAACACTGGCTCTATGGCTTGAAGAGCGGGATGAACGCCGCCCCCTAAAGTCGGACACGACTGGACAAAAATTGTCAAGGGGAACCTTTACCTTTACCTTTACCTTAATTGTGCCAACCATATATATGTGGTACTTGATGCTTGAA